GGCAATTTATTCTCCTCCAGAGCCTCAACTTCCATAGGTTAATTTAAAAAATCTAAAGTTTCGCCCACTTTTGACCGCCCAAATATGTAAAATTAGCTTATTTGCTTCAGAGCCCACAAAAGCAGAGAAGGGCCTCCAGATAAATATGGAAAAATTATATTCAGCCTTTATAAAAGAAATAATGCATTGCCCTTTGCTCAAGCCCCAAGAGGCTGCCGCCCAATTTCATAGACTCTCTAATCCTCCACTTATCTGTAAAATCACAAATTTAAAGAAGTTTATCTGGCGTTCTGTGTTAACATTGTTATTCACCAATTCCTAGTATTGCATCAATTTACCTTTTCATGCAGTTTTATGTTCATATAATTTCTTTTATATAGATCTCCACAAGAATACAAAACCTTGTAACAACCTGATCTGGAAAGGAAATCCAAAAATTCCAGAAATCGAAGCATTTTTATTCTTATAGCGTCCAACTTCCACAGCAAGTTACCGAGCTTTTTGAGAGCTGACGAGACCAAGACATAAAGATCTTAGTTAAATGGTCCAGCCTACTTCCTACAAGCCTCAAATAATTGAGTTATTCTTAGTGGTTAACTTTTAGAAACTATACTTTTTTTAATGCCTTATATCCTGGTCCCAGCGATTAACATATGCAGGAAGTAGGCTTCTTATTATTTTTAAAATGACTCCAAAATTAAACGCGCACTTGTAAGTTTTATATACACCTTACTACTACTACAACTACAACTACTACTATTTTTACTGTTAAAAACATCCAAAAATGGTTTCACCATTAACCGCTTATTATTCTAAGGTGCACTAAGTTTTCCTAAATAATTTATTAAATGACACTAATATTACTTGTTATACTCTAAAATTATCCTGAAGTTTATAATCCCCTAGTCCCAGTAGTTCTGCAAGTTTGTAGGCCTTTTCTTATAGAAAGAACATCAGAATGAAACACACAAAAGTGGGCTTCATAAACACACCTCTACTCAATTTTGCTCGCTTTTCACTTA